TCCCCCCCCCGCTCGACAGCAAAATTTTTGGGAAAAAGTAGTACTCTGCCCCCCTCCCCGCTCGACGGCTCGGTTCGATGAGGAAGGACAGAGGGCTGGGAGGGGGTCGTATTTTAGTATGGAATTAGGGGGGTCGTAATTTTCAGAAAATGATCACAACGCGATGGCGTGCCCTGCTTCCTCCTAAGTGACTAGGGGAGTGGTCTATAGTGGAGGCTCTGTTTCGCTCTTTTCAGGCCGTTCCTATCAGGCCGTTACGTTTTGCTGTTGCACTCTTTAGCGCATTCGCTCCCATTTTCGGCAGAGAATTAAATTATCGTAGCCAGTGTCAGCCAAGGCAGAAAATTACATATTGCAAGAACTGGTTTTTACTGACAGTGCCTACGTGCTTCTATGTTCTGATTAAGTGGCTGCTTTCTAAACAGCACGGCATCAAGATAAATGAGCTTGAGCTTCAGGCCAGCTGGGAATCCGGAAAATTTTCTTGAAGAAGAAAAATGGTTGAATATGATGAATGGATAGGTTAAGGATCAGGACGGCGCTCCACTTGATAGATCTCAAAACTTTACAGTCGATTGAGCAAGAAATCTGTTTACTTCGGTTCTTCTACTTACTTACACATGTCTGGTAAGAAGAAATCGATTTTAACAGACTCATTTCATTTATTTCATTCACTGTACATTCATTTCTTGGGAATGAGATCCCATCCATGACCATGCAAGTGGGAGCTACGCCTTTTGCGACCTCGCCACCCCAATCCCTCATATCGATCGGATTACATATTTTCACTATTATATATTAATCGCAAGCGAATGACTTCAGCACATATGGAGGCATGCCTTGGCAAATGTAACCCGCGGAGTTGTTGGGGTGACAAGTGCCCTTGCCTAGGTCTAGGAGTTCAGTCCAGGATCGACTTCCTCCCGCGTCAGAAGAGCTCTTTTGCTGAAGACCAATAAACACCAGCTTTGTTTGGCAGGATAGAAACACTACATGACTGGCTCGCAAGTTATTCTATATGCCAAAGAGGGCACGTTGCAGGTTGGGGAAACCCCAGCGGGGGAGGGGGAAGGGTCGTGTTTCGTATGTGAGAAGCTTTTTCGTGGTTGATTTTTCCTCTTTCACGGGAACTATCCATCGTTGGGAAAATTCCAAGGGGCGGAATGAGGGGATCGTATTCGCTCGTCATTGAAGGGTGGAAATAGTAGTTGGTTGGTGACGACCGCTCTTTCCCCCTCGTTTGTTGGAGACAGCCGCCCTTCCCCCTCCCCCACCCACGGCCTCACTCCCCGCTCAAAATCCTTGTGGAGATATCGTAAAATGTGTTAGGAAGCTGGGAAGGAGGTCGTAGCAAAATTTGGAGGGGCGTACTTCGCGAGAACTTTCCCCAGCGGCAGGACGTGTCCTGATGCCAAATCGCATGACAGAACCATTACCCTCTGTATAGAAGCAGAATACCCAGCGAATTCCAAAAAGGAACTGATCTTTGCCAATCGCGCTGTCCTCTTTTTTGTGAGACCCAGATATGATCTGCAGCATACCGGAATACGGCACAGTTCGGCGTTGTAGGAGGGGGGGGGGGAGGGCACTTTGCACTTTTGCTACCTTTCATTGACGTGTCGACCTATCTAGACAGTCTCCTTTCGAATTGACAGGTTTTACCATGATGGCTTGATGAGCTTGCTCCAGCTTCACAAGAGTTCACAGGTTCCACCAGAATGAGACTTGTGAATCGGAACTAGTGGAGCAACGGAAGTGCAAAATGCCTCCCCCCCAACCCCATCGCCGAACTGTGTCCAGGAATTCTATGTGGAATCAGAACTGGAACCAGCCTCTACTTTTGAGCAGCAGAATGTTTTCTTGCTTCTCTTTGAGGCATTTCAAAGAATAAGAACTTGACTCATCGGAAACAATCACAAAACAAGGGCCAAGGCCTAGGCAAAATACAGTAACGAGAGAGAATAACCATATAGATGACTTACATCTTGCCAGTGTCGGCTTTTCGGCAGCCGTACACCTCGCCGAATCCGCCTCGGCCAATGATACGATGCACGGAAAAGTCGTTCATTGTCAGCTGCATGTTCAACTCCAAATTTTTCCACTGACAGAATCGCGTGAATTTGTCACTGAAACGAATCAACATTGCTTCGTTGGTCTCTGCTTAGGTCTAATTGAGGTGAAAAGAGATGAGATCTATCGAAAGCAGCGCAGTAAGGCAGCGGTCATACTTTGCGGCGGCGTCCACCAGCGTCCACTAACGTTTCGAAGGTCCCGCAGCGTCAGCGACTGGGAAAGTATTGGGTATTGATCTAGCATCCAACAGCGTGCACCAGCATCTCCCAGCGTCCACGAGCGTGCACCAGCGTCTACCAGTGCCCGGGAGGAGAGCATGAAGCGATAGTAGGGTAGCAGATAGCTGGTACCTCCTATCGCGCGACACTTTCCTCCCAAGCACTGGTAGATGCTGGTGCACACTGGTAGACGCATCGATACCTATACTTCCAGACCATCGAGACGCTGGTGGAGACGTTAGTAGACGCTGGCGAACGCTGAGAAATGTTGTTGTGCGCTGGTGACGCTGGCGGACGCTTTATTTATCGATAGTCTTTACTTTCCTCACAAGGGAAGGATACTAACTCGTCCTGGCCATTCAGAATGAGATGTATACTCCTAGAAGCGTCTTCGGACGCTGATATCAAATCTGGCTTCCAAATCTGCTAAACGATTCTGGGTGAGGAGTTACGGACCTTTTTTGCTACTGTGCTTAACCATTGCGGTGCGCCCCCTGCTTATGCTTCGCGCTTGTAAACAAAAACCTTCGTGACCCAACCGCCATCGTGGCTCGGTGGCGCAGTAGGTAAGTTGATGGACTCACAGTCGTGCGATGGGGGTTCGAGTCCTTGATGCGTTTCGTAGTTTTGCTTTTCTTGAAACGTGCGCTCAACACTTGGGAAGTAGTTTTGCATACCTGTACGACCACCAAGACCCTCCCTGCTGCTTATTAGACCCTATGTCTGATTTTGAGAGGGGTTTCATTTTGACTTCAGTGAAAGCATTCATTTTCATAGCGTTGGTATGGCAGCTTTATTTAACGCATATATTTTTGTAATTAATGCGACTTTTTTCGCACTCGAACGGTAGAAGGCAATGGCTTTTCTTCACTAACCACAGTACTTGATGACTAGGACGTGCTGTATAAAGTGAAGCCCATAAGTGGGCAATGGGTACAAGCGAACTACCTTCTCTATCGGGACCTTTACGTCCCCAAAGTGACGTAGCTGTTCTTCTAGCTCCTAGGGAACTTTCTTCATCGCCATCACACGTGATCAGAGAGAATCCGTATTGTCGTCCTCTACGAGCTATCTCCCTCGCGCAGTCAATTACAAGGTTGTCGTACAGTGTGTCGACAACCTTGTAATTGACATTGACACTCATTCGTACCCCAGAAAACTCAAAAAAACCTTTTTCGCTGAAACGTTGCCTATAGGTGTAATTCGCTGCCAGATCACGAATATCACATTCGTTTCGAGCGCTGGAGTCATTTGGCGCCATTCTGCGCCAAGTTGGCGCCCACCATTTTTTTCACCAAAGTCGATGAAAACTTGCATATGGGGGTTAATTGAGCTCCTGATTACGGAACCAGCATTCGCGCTAGGCGCTGGTGCGATTTGGCGCCATTATGCGCCAATTTGGCGCCATATTGGCGCATCATGGCGCCAAATCGCTGCGCCCAACCGCTGCGAAACCTGCTGGCGCTACATCTCAATCAGGACCTCACATTACCCCATATGCAAGTTTTTCATCACTTTGGGAAGAAAAAAGTGTTGGGCGCCAAATTGCCTTGCATAATTTGGCGCAAATGATCGCCAGCGCCTTCCGAAACGAGGGTTAAAAGCCGTGATCAGGGCATAGAACTGCATCTGTAGACAACGTTTCAGCGATAAAATTTTTTTGAGCTTTCTGGGGTAGGAGTGGTTCAACAGTGCCTAATATTACTTTAGTTATGGTAGGCACGGTCGCAGAGGTGTTGAGACTTGATATTGTGTGCGTGGGTGATTAGAGCTACCGAACATGTTGAAACTTTCGTTGCTCACACACGTCATTTTATAGGATGGTGAAATTTCGCAGATCACGTACTTCAGGCAGATATGCATGTGTATTTGGTCCCTTGCATGAACGAGTTAGGTAGAAGTGTAATTTTTTACAAACGAAAATCTTGTTTCGCGGGGCCCTTCAATAATAGAGCAGGGAATTGTTTGTCTTGGTGGTCGGACAGGTATGCAAAACTACTTCCCAAGTGTTGAGCGCACGTTTCAAGAAAAGCAAAACTACGAAACGCATCAAGGACTCGAACCCCCATCGCACGACTGTGAGTCCATCCACTTACCTACTGCGCTACCGAGCCACGATTGGCGGTTGGGTCACGAAGGGTTTACAAGCGCGAAGCATAAGCAGGGGGGCGCACCGCAATGGTTAAGCACAGTAGCAAAAAAGGTCCGTAACTCCTCACCCAGAATCGTTTAGCAGATTTGGAAGCCAGATTTGATATCAGCGTCCGAAGACGCTTCTAGGAGTATACATCTCATTCTGAATGGCCAGGACGAGTTGGTATCCTTCCCTTGTTAGCCTAAAATGCTAGAAGGGCGCTGTATAGTGGGCAATGGCGAAAGGACGGAC